AACCATGCATCAAATTTGAAACAAATCGTTAAAAATACTAAAAGAAGTTTCTGACACGGTTTGTTAAAACTATGGTGTGCACGTTTGTGCCGGAGAGTGAATGCATTTGCTATTTTCTTTGTTCCCTCCCTTGCAAATGAACTGTGACAACAAACACTGTTAAGCCCAACAGGCAATCGAAGCCAGTGAACAGGCGGTCGAGGCATATTCACAGGCGGATTCAGGACGGCCTCCTGGAGGAAGAGGAGGAGGGGGAGTGGGGCTCCTTAAAGAGGGAGGGGAGGGGGTGAGGGAGGCAAACGGAGGTACGGAAGAAAGTTGTCGTCAGTTTCAACTTTAGGCCCGGACTTTTGTAACACTGGCGTCTGTGCCGTCAGGGGGGAGGGGAGCGGGAGGGGGATCCATTTATCTGCCTATGGACATATTAATCTGCACTAGAATCACATCCAATCAGCTGTGGAAACAGGGCTAAAGTCACAGTTCACGCTATTTGCCCTAATGCGTGCGCACTGGCGGCACATTTGATTGCCGTAACAGTGCAGCTGGCACTGCTTCGCGTCCGTCATTTCTTCTTGTTTCAGCGCTAACTAACAGGAAGCCCAAGTGCCCAGCAATTTCGGCAAAAAGAAACTGGTGCACCTCCGGAGACTCTTTTTGTTCGGATAATCAGCAACTGGCGTGCTGGCAATGTCCGAATTGTGACTCTCGAGCTCGGCTTTCCTGCGCTCTTCCTCACATTCCTGTAGCATTGTTTCCATGAGTTCGCTCAACCGCTCTTCGAACTCTTTCTCCGCTTTTGCTTTGTCCTTCTCATATTCCTTTTTGATACGTTGCATCGACAGCTGAAGAGTATGTTCAGCGTCTGTACAATCAGTGAAGCACGCTCTCACCATAATTTACTAGACACCACTTAATGGCTTTACACGCTGCCGGGATCAATAAACATAAACAGCCAATATGCCGATGAGCCCTGACCAGCGCCACAGGCTCACATTATTACACCAGGAGGCCTACAGATTGATTTCACGATACCGTGAAACCGTGAACCGTGAAATCAATCTGTAAATTACTTAAACTTATACCTAAACTAATGTGTGTATGTGTGTGTCTGCTGTCCTATAACAGGATCAGTGTAAAAACACACTTTATATACAATACTTAATACTCTTATGTACTATAATAATACGAAAAGAATAGAAGGAATAAATAGCGACGCGCACCAGGGTAGACGGCACGACTGTGCGTTTTACACAGTTCCGTTCAACAAACGTTTATCTGCTAAGGATTTCCACTGCTTTGCACTTTGGTCTGTGCCAAAATATTTGAAATGCTGACCGGTTCCTAGGCTGCGGAATTTCCCATTAAAAATTTCAAGCACTGGATTTGAAATCCCGAACGATGAGTATTTCAAAATTGCAGCCTTTTAATTTTCTGACTTTCGGGTGATTTTTATACTAAAACTTTCACGTGATCGTACTTGAGACCCTGGCATACCTAAGAAATGAGTCTGCGTTTTTCAAGTCTCTTCTAAAGCACAGAACATCCTCCCGAAATTTTAAGTCCCCTAGCTTTTCTGGCTTACAACTAATGGTTTTTCTCGCCAAAACTTTCACGAGGACGTTGAGACCCAGGCGTACATGAAAGCTGATTTCGAATCTGTGAGGTCATACACGGACAAGAGATGTTAACCTAAAATTTTAGCTTCCTAGCTTTCTTGGTTACCGAGTTATTAATTTTCCCCACCAAACTTTTGCGGGGCCGTATGTGATACTCAGATGTACTGACAGGCTGAATTTAAACCTGCTGGGTTGTACTTGGGCAGGAGGCACTACCGTAAAAGTTCAGCTTCCTAGCTTTTGCAATTTAAGAGATTGGATGCGGGTGGGGAAATGCGAGATGGGCGGCAAACAAAGGGCTAAGATACGGGTGAAGGGCGGCAGGATAAGGTGCGAGTGGAGGGCGATGGGACTGGGCGCCGGTGGAGGGCAACGCGACAGGATGCCGATGGAGGGGGGCGGGACTGGATGGAAGTGGTAGGATGGGGTACGGGTGGAGAGCCGAGCGGTTGGCTGCGGGTGGAAGGAGGCGGAATTGGTTGCCGGTAAAAGACAGCGGGATTGGATGGAAGGTAGTAGGATAGGGTGTGAATGGGCAGCTGAGGGATTGGCTGTGGTGGAGGGAGGTGGGGATGGGTGCCAATGGAGGGCGGTGGGATAGGGTGAGAAGCGGAATGATTGATGTGGGTGGAGGGCTGCGGGACAGGGTGCGAGTGGAAGGCCGCGGGTGGAGAGCCGGGGGATTGGTTGCAGGTGGAGGGCGACGGGATTGGTTGCCGGTGGAAAGCGACAGGGATGGGCGGAGGGTGGTTGGACAGGGTATCGGGGACAGCCGAGGGATTGGCTGTCGCTGGAGGGAGACCGGAGAGGGTGCAGTGAAGGGCGGCGGGATAGGGTGAAGAGCGGCGCGAGTGGGTGCGAGTGGAGGATGCGAGTGAGGAGCGCTGTAATTGGTTGCGGGTTAGGGGTGCGGAGGAGAAACTCTTCACGCCCACTAACTGCCTCTTTCCACCCTCATTGTCACACTATTTTTCATTGGCATTTCGAAGCATGGCCCACGTAGGCAAGTGGTCGGTTCGTGGAGAACCGCGAAGTTCGCAGGATGCAGTTTTCCCGGCCGAGACTTTCGCGGGGCCGTACGTGATACTCGGGTGCGACAGAGATAAATTTAAATTTGCTGAATTATCTGTGGGCA